CTGAGACTATGGTCCCTAGCTGTCCTTCAGGTCTGGAACTGAACCCATTCCTGTGGCTTCCAGCCAAACAAAAAGCAGGCATATGAGCAGAACATTTACATTAGGTAGATATACTCCTTGGAGAGAACAATCACTGAAGAATAGAAGGGCTATGTATGCACAGGGAGACAGCTTGGTGGGCAGGAGTACATGGGAGGAAGGACACAGGGAAGAGGTAACTATGGGGAGGAAGTGGGAGGGGAGCTGTTGCATTGTGGGAAAATGCAGTCAATGTCATGAGACAAAGTGTATGTGAGCTACTGTATAGAAAGTGAATTTGCTCTGTAAAAACAATGCTAACGATGGAGAAATTTGAGTCTTTATTTATGATACTAACTGCCAAAGTTAAATAAAAGATATATGAGAGCAAATGCCATGGCTAATGGGGAAAAAATGATATTTTCATTTTTTAAGTCTGCCAATTTCCATAAAATTGGCTACAAGTTATGCTGTTGCTTTTCTAAACTAATTTTAAATCCCCTTTATAAAACTGTCAGGAAAAGCTTGTATAGTAAATAAAGTAAATGTCTGAATTTAGCAGTGTTCTTAATTCTAGGCTTACCAGTGAAAAAAGCCAGAAATGCCTTTGTATTACATTTTATTTAACTGCAAAGCACATATATAAAGACCTGGTAATTACCTACTAAGAAAGATTAATTTCTGTTTCCCCAGACCCCTAAGCCCTCTTTTTTTAAACAAGGTGAGTTGCTTTGGAATCATAAAACATCAGTCATGCCTCTGTTAAAGACATAAATACATACTATTACAGTATATACTATTAAACATATTCTAATGCCTTTTTTTTTTTTAAAGAAACTGTTCCTCATTCAGAATAGGATTTAATTTTTAGGTTTTTTTTTAAAAAATAATTTATAATTTAATTCTTTAGTAGCAGTTTTAAAGAGCTTGAATTCAGTACTACGCTACATTTCTTTTTTTCTTTCAATCTCTAATTACATAAGTTAATACAACATCCCAATAAGACGGTCATCTATTCTTCCTATTAATGTAATGTAAGGAAAATTAAGCATAAAGACTTTGAAGAGCATTTCTCAATGCACAGAAGTGAGGTAGGTTAGTGCCTTTTGGGTTAATGCAGAATTTAACCTATATTTGAGGTCAGTGTAAACATTCAGCACCCACGGAATCCCAAAGTTCATCTAGGAGGCATTCTAGCACTAGTCCAGAATTCCCAGTTCTCCTGATCATTTCTAATCATCAGCTCCACATCAGTGGAAAAACTAAACTATCACTCATAAGCCTAATGGATAACTTTTCATGATCAGAGTGATACAAACATATTCATTAAAAGAGAGACAAACCTTTCAGTTTTCCATCAAAGTTTGGATTGGTGGCTACTTTCAAGCCAGGATGAGGTAGCAGAAAACAGGAAATTTTGGTGAAACAGGAATGGATGTGTTTTCGAACATTTTGTAGTTCTTCATGCTGATTCCCTGAGACCTGCAGAAATCATTCTGAAGTTTAACTACTTTCAATGTAAACTGAACTCCAAAGAATTCTGTGGCATCCATATTTTCTATGCCTGTCTTGCCCCATCATAAAAATGCATAACAGGGCTGCTATTGAATAAAGTCTTGAGTAAACTTGCCCACACAGCCACATCTAAGAATAGCATACATGCAGTGTAATTAATTACAACTAGCAAGTGTCTAACTCTTACACTAACTCAGGCCATCTCATTTTTTAGTACAGATTAGAATGGTTTTACTCTGGCTAACTGAAAAAAAAACAAAAAAAAAACAAAAAAAACTCACTGCTGTCAAGTTGAATCTGACTCATAGCGACCCCTCCTTGGGTTTCCGAAGCAGTATCTCTATGGAAATAGACTTCTCAGTCTTATATAAAATTCAAGTTTTCTTTAATTCGAAGTACACACAGGAGACACAAATAGATCATAAGATATGCCTACCTACTTTTCAGAAGATATATAAGATAGCCTCTTGTAACTTGTAGATATACATCTAAATTCTCAAAAGGCATCTGAAAAGTTGAGTGTTTACCTATAAGCTAAATGTCTTTTTGTTTTTTTAATATGTATTTCACAACTTTTGATACAGCAAACTACCTCAAAGTAACTATAATCATAAAAAGGTAAACAGAGATTCACAACTATCAAGTATCAAGGAAATTCTTTTAATCTCAACTTTTTTTTTTTTCTGATTTCTCCATAGGTATTTTTGTGATATCTGTTCAATGTAAACAACTTATACAATACTGAACAATCATAACATAAAAAGTGGAAGGCCTTCTAATTTTACTTCCTGTAAACTATCAGTAAAATATCCTAAGATTGACTTTGTGGATTTCAAATTTAGGTATTTCTGTTCAACTGACTTTTAAACCTCTCCTAAGTAAGAAAACATGAATCTAGATACTTATACTGATAGTCTTGAATTGATTTAATTCTTTAAAGTAAAAGTTGAATCTTTAGGAGTAATTAATTTCTGATTAATCTATCTGAATCAAAGTTATTGATAGTGTTTCAAATAGTAACTAACAGTATTTTATTAAATACTTAGTTTGTTTATAAAGATAGTATGAGGAATGAGATTGTAACTACTAAGTATCTATTCAGGAAATCACTCCACATACACTTTAGATCCTACTGGTGAAATTTCATGCACCTAGATGTCTGACAAACCTTGAGGCGTTTTTCCAAGAATTTGGCGCCACCATCAGATCCATATGAAAATTCATATGGGAAACTCCAGTCTCGAACAAGAAATATCAGACTCTAAAACACAATTAGAAGTAAAGAGTTAAAAGAATGCTTTTAGGTGTTTCCCTCTGCTTCTTATTAAAAAAATTACAATGATATTACTGTCAACTTAATAATATTTTCTTTTATTTATTTATTTATTACCACATCATGGAATTAAAAAGCAAACATAAAACATTCTAAAGTTTCTAAGTAGTCTCTCACCTTTGAGATCATCAGATCATGTGGGTAACAGAAAGCTACCCACAAACTGCCAAGAAGAACATATCCCACTAAGAGATAAAAGACAGAGATGGCCCTCAAACTGGCTGAATGGTGCTGTGCAACTATAATCAGATTTTGTGTAACATATGTTCCCATAAGGTTTCCTTCCTGATGGCTATGGGTGAATGTAGGCATAAGACATAACATTGGCTTTTTTTTTTTTTTTTTAAGCTAATTATTTTCCAAGGCGGTATCTCTACGGAAGTAGATTGCCCAACCTTCCTTCTGAGGAGTGGCTGGTTGGTTTGAACCGCCAACCTTCTGGTTAGCAGTCAAATGCCCTTAGACACTACGCCACCAGAGCTCCTTTTATATATATATACTTGATCATCATAAGACAATTCAAGTGTGTGATATATATAAAACTAAGTCCAGAAAAGAAATTTTAAAAGCACCCTAAATCCCATCTCTTGGATGTAACCATAGTTAGTCAGCATTTGGTGAACATCTTCCTATGTATATATAAAAGGAGGAGGACTGAAGAGGAAAAAAAAAAAAAAAAAGAGAAAGAGAGAAAAATAATTTAATAACAGTGAGATCTCTATTAAATTAAAGCATTAAATGAAAATATACTTGAATTTAACAAGGAAAACAGATATTTAAGAAAGTGTTTTATTTCAATAAATGACTTTTCACCATAAGAAGTTCTAATTGATTCCTTTTAAGTTAAGAAAAAATATTCTGGAAAACTTTGAGGTTGGAGTCATGTGTTAGTTTTAAGACCTTTATTGAAATACAGTCTACATAGGGAAAACTGCACATATAAGTGTACAGTTCAATGTATTTCACAAAGTGAACACACCATGTAACCAGCACCTAGATCAAGAAATATACAATGCCCAGCACCCCAGAAGCCCTGCCTCCTTCCCTCCATTCACCTGCCCCTACAGAAGAGTAACCACTATCCTGACTTCAAAGAGCACAGATTAATTTCACCTGCTTTTATAATTTATATAAATGAAATCATACACAACTTATTCCTGTCTACCCTTTCACTCAACATTATGGTTGTGAGATTCATCATATAATTACATGATTATATATCATTCATAATCATCACTGTATAATATTGCATTATGTGAATTTTTATTGATTTATTCTACTGTAGATGGGCTTTTCATTGTCTAGTTTTGGACTGGTATGAATAATGCTTTTGTGAACATTCTTATATTCTTTGTGACATTATGCATGAATTTTTGTTGGATCTATACCCAGGAGGAGAATTACTAATAAGTTATGCATATGTTTAGGTATGCATAAACAGCATCTATACACATGGACATCTATAGAAGATGGAGTACACAGGAATCAGACTGACTATATCTGCGGAAACAGATGATGGAGAAGTTCAATGTCTTCAGCCAATACAAGGCCAGGAGCTGACTGTGGAAAAGACCATCAACTGTTCATATGCAAGTTCAAGTTGAAGCTGAAGACAATTAAAACAAGTCCACAAGAGCCAAAATATGACCTTGATTATATTCCTTCTGAATTTAGAGACCAACTAAAGAACTGATTTGATGCACGGAACACCAAAACCAGAGGAATTGTGGGATGACATCAAGAACATCATGCACAAAGAAAACAAAAGGACATTAAAAAGACAGGAAAGGAAGAAGAGACAAAGATGGATGTCAGAAGTGACTCTGAAACTTGCCCTTGAGGGACAATAGCTAAGCAAATGGAAGAAGTGACAAGATAAAAGAGATGAACAGAAGATTTCAAAGAGCAGCTCAAGAAGACAAAGTCAATTATTATAATGAAATGTGCAAAGATGAGGAGTTAGAAAACCAAAAGGGAAGAGCGTGCTCAGCATTTCTCAAGTTGAAAGAACTGAAGAAAAAACTCAAGCCTCAAGTTGGAATACTGAAAGATTCTATGGGCAAAATATTGAATGATGCAGGAAATATCAAAAGAAGATGAAAGGAATACACAGAGTCACTGTAACAAAAAGAATTGGTTCATGTTCATCCATTTCAGGAGGTAGCACATGATCAAGGACCAATGGTACTGAAGGAAGAAGTCAAAGCTGCACTGAAGAAATTGGTGAAGAAGAAAGTGATGGAATACTGGATACCTATTGAGATGTTTCAACAAATGGATGCGGTGCTGGAGGCACCCACTGATCTATGCCAATAAATTTGGAAGACAACAACCTGGCCAACTGACTGGAAGAGATCCATATTTGTACCCATTCCAAAGAAAGGTGATCCCACAGAATGTGGAAATTATCGAATGACATCATTAATATCACACATAAGTAAAATCTTGCTGAAGATAATTCAAAACTGGTTGCAGCAATATATTGATAGGGAACTGCCAGAAATGCAAGCTGGAATTAGAAGAGGATGTAGACTGAGGGATATCATTGGTGATGTCAGATGGATCTTGGCTGAAAGCAGAGAGAACCTGAAAGATGTTTACTTGTGTTTTATTGACTATGTAAAAGAATTTGATTGTGTGGATCATAACAAACTATGGATAACATTGAGAAAAATGAGAATTCCAAAACACTTCATTGTGCTCACGAGAACCTGTACATAGACCAGAAGGCTATCATTCTAACAGAACAAGAGGATACTGCATGGTTTAAAATTAGGAAGAGAGTACATCAGGGTTATATCCTTTCACCATACTTATTCAACTTGTATGCTGAGCAAATAATCAGAGAAGCTGGACTATATGAAGAAGAACGTGGCATCAAGATTGGAGGAAGACTCATTAACAACCTGTGATATGCAGATGACACAATCTTGCTTGCTGAAAGTGAAGATCACTTGAAGCACCTACTGATGAAGATTGAAGAATACAGTCTCAACATATTTTTATGTTGGATTACATCTCAACATAAAAAAAAAAAAAAATCCGCACAACTGGACGAATAGGCAGCATCATGATAAATGGAGAAAAGATTGAAGTTGTCAAAGATTTCACATTGCTTGGTTCCACAATCAACACCAATGGAAGCAACAGTCAAGAAATGAGATGGCACACTGCACTGGGCAAATATGCTGCAAAAGACCTCTTATAAGTGCTGAAGAGCAAAGATGTCTCTTTGAAGACTAAAGTGTGCCTAACCCAAGCCATGGTATTTTCAGTCACCTCGTATGCATGTGAAAACTGGACAACAAATAAGGAAGACTGAAGAATTGATGCCTCTGAGTTGCGGTGTTGGCAAAGAATACTGAAAGTAGCATTGTCTGCCAGAAGAACAAACAAATTTATCTTGGAAGAAGTGCTGCTGGAATGCTCCTTGGAAGGGAGAATGGTCAGACTTCCTCTCACCTACTTTGGTCATGTTGTCAGAAAGGACCATTCCGTGGAGAAGGATGTCACGCTTGGTAAAGTGAAGGGTTAGTGATAAAGGGGAAGGCCCTCAACAAGATGGACTGACACAGTAGCTGTAACAATGGGCTCAAGTATAGCAAGGATTATGAGGCTGGCTGAGGACTGGGTGTTGTTTTGTTCTGTTGTACATAGGTCATAATGAGTCAGAGCTAACTCAACAGCACATAACAATGTTTAGGATCATAAATACTCCTAGTTGTCTGAAGTGCTGTGCCAATTCATAACCCTCACAGCACTAAGAGGGTTCCTGACACTAACCATCCTCACTAAAACTCTGTATTTCCTGTCTTTTTAATTTTAACCATTCTGATGGGTATGGATTGGTAAATACTATAGTTTCAGTTTGCATTTCCCTCATTATTAATGAACCAGCATCTTTTCATGTGTTTATTGGCTATTGCATTTTCTTTTGTGAAGTCCTTATTCAAGTCTTTTGTCAATATTTGTATTAGTTGTTGTTGTTTTTTTTTTTAATACATATTCCACTTATAACTCCCTGCCATGAGAAAATTAGTACACTCATACTTCCTCTTCCCATTTTAGCTTTTGTCTGCTATTTTTGTTTTTGTTAACACATGGCATTGACCTAATACTAATAGCAGCTTGAATATAAATGTTTGCAATTTTTACCAAAATAATGACCATGTGAACACACTCCAGGGCCCCTCCCAGGGCCTTGGAGGGAATTCATGAAGGAAAGAAGCCCTGAACCTTAAACTTCATTAGATTCATGATAAATCTGTCTCTGGTAATATAGCCTCTGTGTTTTTTCCATATCTGTTATCTTCCCTATAATAGTTTTTACATCTCTTTCGTTTCCATTTTGTTTTGTGAGCTTTCTCAAGACTATCTCCTCTAATCTCCCATGATTGAGTTTTCAATCATTTTTCCTGTTTTGTCACTTCTTAGATTTCTCATGGTGTCCCTGCTTTCTCTGTTCCATATTATTTTCTGTGCTGAGCTCATTGTTTATGAATCGTGTTATCATTTCCTTTGTTGCTGTTGTTTTAGTAT